TCTTTCTTTCTTTCTTTCTTTCTTTCTTTCTTTCTTTCTTTCTTTCTCTTTCTCTCTCTCTCTCCCTCCCTCCCTCCCTCCCTCTCTTCCTTTCTTTCCTTTCTCTTTTTCTCTTTTTCTGTTCTCTCTCTCTCTCCCTCCTTCCCTCCCTCCCTTCCTCCCTCCCTTTCTTCCTTTCTTTCTTTCCTTTCTCTTTTTTTCTTTTTCTGTTCTCTCTCTCTCTCTCTCTGTCTCTGTGTGTGTGTGTGTGTGTGTGTGTATGTGTGTACGTGTGTGTACCTTAACTGGTTCTCCGCTCCTTCCTTCCTTTTTAATTCCTTTTCTTCCTTTTTTGTGTTTGTTTGCTCGTTTTTGAAAACAAGGACCCTTTACATAGCTCTGGGCCTCTAACTCCTAGAGATGTGCTTACCTCTGTCTCCCAAAGTGTGAGGATTAAATGTCTGTGCCACCGCACTTGGCTCTTTTGTTAATTTTTAAATTCACTTATTTACTGTGTGAACAAGGGGAGGGAGCAGCACAAGTGTGGGGGATCAGGGTTCAGCTTTTAGGAGTCTACTGTTTTGCCCAGTGGGTCCATGGTATCATACTGAAGTCCTTGGACTTGGCAGCAAGCCTGTTGGCCTGCTGAGCCCTCTTACTGGCCCACTGTGTTCCTAGCATAGACCTCATGGGGCATCTTGGGAGCTTCTCTGGGCCATGTCAGAACTTCACAGCAACATGTCACAACTTGTCAATCCCACAACTTCTTCACCTTTCTGTACTGTGACCCTGTTCCTTCCAAACCTTCTAGAAGAACCTGGGTGTACATATCAGCCGCCCCTCTCCCCCGTTTATCCTTTCATATTGTATACTCACATAACTGAGCTACAAGCGCTCTCTTCACTGAGCCCTCACATAAATTTAGATGGTATTTATGACAAACATGGAGTTTTAGGGGTGTTTGAAACAGGGCCTCCATGTGTAACCCTGGCTGTCCTGATACTTGCTGTGTAGATGAAGCTGGCCTTGAACTGCTGGTGCCTAACAAGTACATACCACCCACATGGAACACCTCCCTACACACACACACACACACACACACACACACACACACACACTCACACTCACACTCACACTCACACAGCAAGATAACCCCTGCATCCCTAGTCCCCAGCACACACTCCACTCTGCATTCTCCAGGAGATAAGTGTTGGTGCTTTTGTCTCTGACCTGAAGCTCATCTCTCCATTTATTAGGAGACTCAAGTAGAAAACATTCCAGGCTGGAGATGTGACTCAGTGGGTACAGTGTTTATAGTTTAGTTGAGATAGTGCTTACAACTTGATGGGAAGACTGATTCTCTGAGTACAGTGCATGTGACTCAGTAGACAGTATTTATAGATCAGTGGGTAGAGTACTTGTAGCTCAGTTAGTACAATGCTTGCATTCAGTGGGTAGAACTAAGTGGATAGAGTGCTTTTGACTCAATGAGTAGACTGCCTGTAGCTCAATGGGCAGAGTGCTTGTAACTCAGTGAATCTCAGATCTAAATTTGCTGAACAGGCCCCCTCTTTCCAGCAGGTCTTCTGTACTCTTGTTTTCCTGTACTCAGCCGTGATTCTTTTGTCCTGTGCCTCAGTTTACTGTTCAGTGCTTCCATGGCCTGCTGCCTTATAGAAAGCCAGTACTAAATCTTCAGTCCTACAAGGGCAGGATATCTGCAGTCTGTCTGGATGGGAACATCCTCTTTAGATGAAGGGTCACATGAGTAGCTATCAGATGCTCTAACAGATCACTGCAGGCTAGTGTCTTATACACTAGAGAGAAATTACTGAAGGTCCTGTGGGGTTTGGGGAGTTTGGGTTCTGAAAGACATTGATGCCATCTGGTAGTCCCTAGTGACATTAATCTAAATTTAGAACTATTTAGGAAACATTTGGAGTCCTGATCGTTGAGGAGAAAGGAATCTGTGCATGGGTGGGGACACAGAGTGCTTAAAAGGGAAAAGAAATCAATCACCCATCAATATTGGCAAGTCACCAGCATTTATGCCTACTGATGCAAGGAGAGTAACTATGTCATGCTTCTGCCTCTATGAAGTCATCCCCTTTGCGAGCCCCACTCCCACCACCATAGCACCTGGTCAGTAGTAATGGTGTAGGCTGTAGGATTTGAATAACATTCATGAATATGCAGATACACATTTTGTATATACACACACATTATGCAAGGGCAGCCTCTGCCTCTTTTTAGAACAGTCCCTTTTGGGGAGAGGAGAAATTGTGTTCACCATAGTGCACTGGGCTGTTCTCTTTGCAAAGTCCCTAAAGGTGGAAGGCTGTGCACAATGCCCCTTACCACATCTTCACCTCCCTGAGTGCCACCTTCTAATTCATTGTGATTTATGAGATGGGGCCTCACTGTCATTCAAACCAAGCATCTACCCCAACAGAAACTGAAGGATTGTGGGTTGGAGGGATATGGCCACAGGATATCTGGAGCACCCAGAAGCAGGATGGGGTTGGGAGGGTCTTCTTTGAGGCCTTCAGAAGATGGGGAGTAGGGGGCTGATGGACCTGTACCTCATATTTCCATCCTTGGATGAAGGATACCAGGTGAGTCTACCCACTCTGTGCCACCTTGGATGTCTCCTGTTCTGTGCCTCCTGACTAAACCTACCTGGGCCATCTTGAACCCTACCCACCCATCTTAAATTCGACCTAACCTGTGCCATTTTGCCTTGAAGCTATGTATGTCATCTTGAATAGCACGTAACCTGAGCCATTTGAATGCCACCCACCCTGGACTTCTTAACTAAACCATCTAGAATCCCACCCAAGGCAGCCATCTTGAATTGTTCACTGCCATCAGATATTCTTTCTGGTTTCTTTTCCTGACCGTTTTCTCCTGAATGCTCTCCTATGATATAAAGAATCTGTCCAACACTCCTCAACCCCTAACCCTTGGTTGTGTGTCTGTCCATTTCCTGCTCAGCCCTTGGCATCCTCACATCCTTATCCTGAATCACCAAGGGCAATACTCTCTCTCTCTCTCTCTCTCTCTCTCTCTCTCTCTCTCTCTCTCTC